CCCAGTAATGGCGCCGACAATAGAGGGCGACACTCAAAAATGTTCTTTTGGATAGGTCTATAGTCATGATGTGCTTACATATAGTCATGATGTGCCCATATACAGTCATGATGTACCCATATATAGTCATGATGTGCCCATATATAGTCATGATGTGCCCATATACAGGCATGATGTGCCTCTATATAGTCATGATGTACCCATATATGGTCATGATGTGCCTATATATTTAGTCATGATGTGCCTATATATGGTCCTGATGTGATGTCATCATGCCATATTTAGGCATGTCACATGTTTTGTCAAATAAAATTTGATAATATGGACAGGGCTAAAGACATGCTTTAAGCCGGTTTTTACACTCTAGGCAAATTTATTCAACCATGAATGAACCATTGGTTTATTCGCACACTCACATCTCTATCAGAGTTTTTCGCTTCAGTGAAATCAGTAGTTCGAACTTTTTCAAATTTTTGCAAAGGGAAAAATGCAAAACCAACCAGACCTCAGGAAGTGAACCAACGCTTCTGATTCGCGCGAATAAATTTGCCTAGTTTAAAACCGGCTTAAACTAGATTTAATATTACATTCTGTATCATAGGATCTGCAAAACTGAACTTACGGGCACGAGCCACGGTGCAACGTTTGGTGAGCACTCATAAAAACAAAGGTCATGGTTCAAAAAAGCTGTACATGCTTTAGAGAGCTGAGTGTCACAATGATGCCAGTTGAAATTCAACCAGGAATGTGATTGGTGAAGTCCCCTCGTTGTTTCTTCTGTACAGCATGAGAGTTCTTTATATTGGTTACACTGTGGAAACATTCAACATTCATTAGTTATAATCAACAGTAGAAAAAAAAAAATTGTATTAGTATAAAATAATACAATAATTAGAATATTGTTTTGAAATTTTAAATGTTTGACAGTTTTCGAATGCATTTTCTTCTTTTATAACAGTAATAATAATAAATAATAACAACAACAATAACAACAATATAATAATAAAATAATATTAATAACAAAATACAGTAACAAATAATAATAATAATAATAATAATAATAATTACGGTCGAAAATTTCACGGTAATGAAATTTGTTTGTGTTGTGATCAAAAGTTTAAACGTTTAGTATATTCAAACACCAACACAGATGAGCTACTTTTCGAATAATTATTATTATTAGTAGTATTTGCTCTAGTTTTCCTCAACAGCCTGATCACAGCATAATGTAAATGGAGACCACTGCAATTGACTGGTCAGTGGTAAGTTGTTAAGGTCAGTGAGGTTAGACAGTGCACGGTTTATAAAGCATTTAAAGAGTATTTTGAATGTGGTACATTTATGAATTGGTATGTATAATGAATGTTCATGAGCGCAAAGGGGAAGAATATTTTCATGAGTTTAAAGATGGTTCCATTTGACAAGACGGAGCAGAGTAGAATGGAACAGTCAATCTTTTAACAAATGAAACTGTTCTTTCTATTGCATGAATAAAAACATTTATTTTAACACACCCAAAATAGAATCTTGTCATTTCATATTTTATGAAAAAAATATACAAATGCAAGGTGGAACTAAATATCCATGATGAGTTACAAAATGGATGAATAACCGATGTCACATGATACAAAATCTAATCAAATGACAGGGAAGTGTGTTTTTATAAAAGTCAATGAAGCTGTTGAAGGAAAGTAGTTACATGATATATTTTTTACCTGACCAAATAAATTACTTTCTGGTCCTGGCTTAGTCTTGTGATTTACTCCATCAAGACAACGATTCAAATATGCTTCAACTGAATCTTCTGAACTGGTCATAGTGACTGTTGAGAAAAAGATGAGCCACAACGCCAAATCCATGACATATAACTCACCCATTAAGGCACTGTGAAGGACAAAAATACAGTATAAAATTTAATATTTTTTACTTATATTTTGGCACATGGGCCATAATGCCAGAATTTCCTCCAAGCAGGGAGGTGTTAGTGGTCTGACGGGGGAGGGGGATGTTAATTATTGGTGGGGTACAAGAGCGTAGTGCTAGTGCAGTTCATTGGATAAGCCCTACAGTACTTCTTGGCTGTAATTGGTTCTTTAATTGGTTCTATAATATATGCTGTAGACTAAAAGTTTACAAGTTTTTATAGTATCAATTAAAGACTAGATGAAATTCTTCTAAGTAATAATAATAATCATAATTCCTTTCCTCCAACAGGAGGAAAGGAATAAGTGATCATACGGTGGGGTGGGGGGTCTGTTAACTATTGGTGGGGTACAAGAGTGTAGTCCTAGTGGTGGTCCATTGGCTAAGCCCCTACTTTTTGGCCATTTTAAGTTATTCTGACACATACAGTATTTTAATAAAATGATTTTTCTTTCCAATTTAAAGAAAATTTTTTCTTCTTCTGTCCATCTGACAAATAGCGTCCAACAGGGGGGGCCTGACCTGTCGGACAGGAGAGCATGAGAACTCATCACCTCTGGCTCGGGAAGGGGAAGATCCAGAGATGTCCGAAAGGGGGAGGAGCAATCAAGAGAAAACTAGTCTAGTAATAATCAAGAGAAAACTAGTAACAATAAACTAGAGTCCGGGACGCCGAAAATAACCTCTAGAATCTCAGAGGCATTTTGGTAGGCCTAGATCAATTTTTTTTTTGCAATAGGAAAGGGGGGGGGGAGGGTGCGGGGTCGTCATGTTAGGCCTACTATACTACTACTAACATATCATGCCATATCTACCTAGAGAGAAAGCCCACTACGACTACTACTACTACTACTTAGGCTAGGTCCAGAGGTCTGGTGGTACGGCCTAGCTAGCCTCTAGGGGGGGCCTACTGTAGGCCTAGTCCTGCTAGGCTAGGCCTAGCTTTATGGTTTATATAATAATTACTGTATTAGATTTTCAAAACACATTTATAGCTTCTCATAATCTTACCACTGACAAACAAATTTCTTCATATTCTCAGTAAGTTTCAACGGACTCCCTCAATGTTTACTTCACCGTACATGGCGCGTCTCCGTCCCCGTGCGACTCGCTTTCTTTCTTTTTTTCCGTTCGCTCAGCGTGCGTGAGGTGAGTACAGGCTGATGAAATCAAACTACCCACGTGTGACGATTTTACTAGCTTCATATGGAACGCCAAAATGGCCATAGTAATACAGTAAAACCCTATAAGGCGACACCCTCGGGACCCCAAAAGCGTCCCTTTAATAGGAGTATCCCCTGAATATGGTACCTCTATTCAGGGGACATTGACCACAAATGTGAAAGTTTACCCTTAATAGAGATTTTTTGGCATGATTTCGTACAATGATGACATAGATTCTTTGTATAGGCTATTTTAATTGGCCTAAGATAAGAATAAGTTGCAGCTTTTATTATTACTAATTTATAACAATAATTTTTATTAATTCTGATTCATTAAGATATGAAACAACAGAAATGTTATTAAAACAACAAAAGTTGCACATGTTCCCAATATTGTTTCATGATTCGAGTGCAATGTTAATAACCAAATATTCCTTTTTTAATTAGGTCTTTCTATTGGATGTACAAGATAGCGTAGAGTAACAACTTAAATAACTCAGGATACAGGCTGTAATGTATACACTAAACAAGAAATCTCCATGTCAAAATTAAAAGATTGTATTATATGAAGTACAGAAACACTTGCACTAGGCCTACATACCAATTTCCATTCTAAATATTGAGAGGAAAAATTCTGGTCAAAATATAAATTTGAATGAATTTTTACACTACTGTAAAATTTGTTTTGATACAATAAAAAAGTGTCCTTTTATAGAGGTTAAAATGTATTGATTTGTTGACCATTTGGCACATTCAGAAAGTGTCGCCGTCCCCTTAATAGGGGTTGGCCATAGTGTTAAAATATTTCCCCTCGTTTTCACGGAGAGGTGTCCCCTTAATAGGGGTACATGAATGTGTGTCACAAAGAAGGGGTTCTACTTTATCACTTATCATTAAACTTTGTAAATTTATTTACCCTGGGTGAATTCATAACTGATAAGATTGAAGATATATTTAGCCTAAAAATATCAAGAACCACCGTTAATAGTTACTATGTTCATTATTTCATTTAAAAACCATATTAAAAAATAAACATGTTCTATCAGAATAAAACTAAATTTAAAGAATTTTTTATTGGTGGAAAAAATAATAGAGATTTATAACACCTTGAAAAAAATGATCTGGTTCTGGTTCGACGATACAACCCAAAAAACTCATAGGGGTTTACAAGATAAAATCGAAAATAAATAGTCCCATAATATCAAATAACTATAAAACACGTAAAAAAGCCGCGTTTTACCTTGAAATACCGTAGTACCCCAGAACACGTTATTTTGTGCTTGTAGTAGATTATACAAGTTTCAAAATACCAGAATTGTTTTAGCCCTGTGACCTTTTTTTTTTTTTTGTTAGATTGATAGTTGTTGTGATGACGTAGTTATAATAATGATTATAATGATTGTAGCCGGACCGGAAGTTGAAGAATGGAAAATATATAAAGAAAGGTAAGTGAATAGTAGCGACGTTTCGATATAATATCAGCAGAGCTTCATGAGGCTGATAATAGATCTGATATTTGATCTAAACGTCGCAATTACGTACTTATTCATTGGTTTCAATTCATTACCTTCCTTCACTATTTGGAAACTTAATTAAATTATTCGAAGGAAAATATTTAAGCCTTCATCTATTTTACGGGATTTTTTTTCATATTGATAGAATGTGAATGGAATTAGCTGCACATGATCCTACACAGGAATAAAGATGTTCAACATTACGTCAGGGGCGGATTCACTAGTAGTAGTAGTGGGCGAAGTCGGCGCTATATCTGACGAAGATCGTTGATACCCTGCGCAGCATAATGTGTAGAGCGCCGCCAACATACACACAAAGTTTGGATTACTTCAATTCTCAGTCCTCTGCTTTTAACAAGAGTTGCTTCTTGGCTGCCCTTGAGATTGCAGTCAAACAACCAAGAACATGTGGGAGACAAGTGCATCGTACCAATGTGCCAGCGGATTTACCAGAAATGTATTATCGAAAAGCAGTTACAATCCCATTTCTTGACCACCTCAACCAGCAAATGAATGCAAGAATCACAGACCTACATTCAAAAGCATCAATGGGGTTGAAGTTGGTGCCGTCAATATTGACGTGGATTTCCAATTCTTTACAGACGACATTCCATGTGTAAATAGCCTGGAGCTGAGCTACAACAATGGGCTTTGCTTTGGCGTTCGAAGACAGACAGAAAAGCCCAACAGCATTCAGTTGCCTTGAAGGATATTGACGAAGTGTTTTTTGCCAACATATCTATCTGCAATTCTGAAAATATGCGCAACGTTTCCTGTGACAAGTTACGAATGTGAAAAGAGTATTAGTGCAGATTTCTTAAGACGTACTTTTGAGATCCACTATGGTGTCTGACCGTATCATCATTGGCGTTAATATATATTCATCGTATTGTTAATAGTAGAAATAGTAAAAGCATTTGCTATTAGGCAACCAAGCAAAATATAACCTACCAATGATTGTTAGTGCAAACATAAAATCTCCGAAACTCCGATCGGGGACAGTATAGTTTACGTACTCTATTTAAGCGTAGCCATTGTTATTAATGTCTTTTAGAACGTTTAAAAAAAAATATTATAGAATGTTATAAAATTTAATTGCCTACTGCCTTCAATAATATTCATCGTATATACTCCCATATAAGGCAACCCGCGTGCAAGACGACCCCCGAGTTTGAGAAGGTTATTGGACGATATTTCGGGCGTATAAGACCCCCTATTTATAAGACACCCCCCCCCCCCCCAACCTATTTTCAACGTTGTAATTTATTTGTTGCTGATGGATGGATGGATAAAAACATCCAAATATGGGGCTAATCTTCAAAAATACAATTTTATGGGCTTTTAAAAACCAATCTATCTATCCATTTACCGTATATACTCCCATATAAGGCAACCCGCGTATAAGACGACCCCCTGATTTTGAGAAGGTTTTTGGACGATTTATCTGTCGCACGTATGACGACCCACTGTTTTCCGATCGTAACTTACTATTTTAAGCCTCTTCTTATAAAAGAGTATATACGATAAAATGTAGATATTTTATCGAATTAAAGGCCTACCGGTACTTCATTTCGTATTGTTCATACCCATTGCATCATATCACTGTGTCTATGCAAGTAAATATAGGAAAATGCTGACAAACCAAATTGTATTTGCTTCCTTTATTAAACCGTCTAAAACTGAAACAAAGCGAAACAGGCAACGCTTCCAGGGGCCTTCGCGTCACGTCAAAATATTGGGGGGGGGGGGGCGGGTGGGATAAAATAATTTTGTTATCAACATTAATACATTATGCTAAGTTTCATCTTTGTAAGCGCATAAGACATTGCAAATTATTTCTGTAATAGTCTTTTGAAGTGTGTAAAGCTCCATTTTATCCCATACATAGTCAAAGAATTAGGGGGCGGGGATGATACAATGGACCATCCCTCCTTGTCAAATATTGGGGGATATATCCTCTATCCCCCTGGGATCTACGCCTATGGCCCTTGGTGGCCCCGGTCCCCCACCCTATGGGAGAGGGATACCCTCCCAAACTCTCCCCCTCTGACCTACGGTCCTCGATGGACCGCTTCACCACCATCCCCCCTCCCCCGGCTCAGAAATCCTGGATCCGCCACTGTACGTTGATTTGTTTATTAACGATTCCTTATGCAAAACAACATTAATAACGAAATAAAATTTTGGTTTCGTTCATTGTTCCTTTATCAATGGTGAAAGACAACGCACAGTGTGTATAAACTGACAGCAGAGGTCCCCGACGGTCGTTGGCCGACGCGATTCTATGGAGAACGCATCACATGAGTAATTCCGTTCTAGCGTCGCGTCGTCGAAGAAATCGAAAGCTCCGGACCCTACTGACAATCAGCAGACGGTGTTGCGTCGTTCCCCTTCCCACATTCACGATTTTTGCTACTATGGAGCACGATTTTAAAAACGTTTCAAAATTGCGCTCTATCGTAGTGATTCGTACTCAAAAAGTTCAAGTTTTACGTTTCATCAAGACGCTACTAGGACTAATGCATGCGATAGTGCGACGACATTTTTAGGAATTATAACGATAGAGTTACGATTTGTGACGACGTACTACGAATTACCAAAATATTAATTTGACGTCACTACGATTTTACAAAAACGCAAGCACGACGTTAGAACACGATTTAACAAGACAAACATCATATGACATGACAAAAAAGCGCACTGTTCAAACACCATTTGCAAGCTGCTGCTATAGAAGAGGGAAATTTGTTTTTGCTATTTGAAATTTTGCTGCTACAGTTTTGATAATCAAGAGAAAGCGTCGGTCACGCCGAATGCATAGGCCTAAACGAAGTGTATGGGTACAGCCATGGCTCTTACATCGTCCATATTTTAGACAGTATGAACACTTGCTTGTAAAGTTAAATAGAGAAGACCAAAGAGGCTTCAGAATCTTCCTCCAAGTGAGCAAGGAATGTTCAGTGTGTTGAAAAACCTTTCTGACACAGAGCCACGTGATATACCACGGTCTTGATGGTATCTTGGTGGCATCGTATCTAATCGTCTCAGCACATCAGCGACGTCTTGGCTTGTCGTAGGTGTCGTTGGTAGTGCGAATGTACAAGACATAGTCACGACGACAACCTTACGCCACTCACACGATGCCGCTGCGGTTACGATTGAGCACGATTTTTTTTTAACATTCCAAAAAAAATCGTGCTCCATCACGATGACATTAATATCCAGTACGATGCAATACGATGAATTTGTTTGACCACGACATTTACGACGACGCCATTGCGATTTTTAAAAATTGAAAATTCGTGCTCTGTCGTAATCGTGAATGTGGGAAAGGGGCAGTGGAGTTGGATTAGTCAGCCGACGGCCGTACGACGCAGTGAGTGCCCGGAATGGGCATTATGTCTATGTAGAAAATAAATAAAGAAATTGAAGACAAAAATGTAAGCACAGAGTTTTTATTTAATGATAAAAACAATCATTGCACACATTAGGCAACTATACAAAGCGCTTTTCCTGTTTACAAAATTATATAGGCATATTCCATGTTTCACTTAGGCCTATTTGGTTTTACAAAGACAGTTTTACTTAATTTTCATTTTTATAAAAGTTGCATCAAAAATACAAAACTCAATTCAAGTAAGAATATCGTATTCCTACAAGTCGTAAAACTTTGATTAAATAGAAAAAATAATACTGAAAGGAAATAATTTAATAATAATAATAATAATAATTAGTGTAGTTTTATATAGCGCACATATCCATATAATGTAAGATGCTCAGGGCGCTTGATATGTCTACTAGGAACTCGACCAATGCCTACATAGCATACTACGCAATTTCAAAACAGCAGATGCACTGATTATGTTTAAATAACAAAAACATGCCAAGTAAAGAGAGGGAAGCCACGACCCAATGAAATGTGTAACTATTCGCCCTCCTCTCTTTATTTTTTTACGGTACCATGTTAATCGATTCAAGGATTACTGCGTTTTTAAAGTTTCGTTGCATATATCGCAAATAATAACATAAATTTTAAGCTCTGTCCACACTATCAAATTTTCTTTGACAAAAAACTGTTGTATGTCCATATATAGTCATAATGTGCCCATTTATAGTCATGATGTGCCCATATATAGTCAGGATGCGCCCATATATAGTCATGATGTGCCCATATATAGTCATTATGTGCCTATATATAGACATGATGTGCCCATATAGTCATGATGTGCCCAAATATAGTCATTATGTGACCATATATAGTCATTATGTGCCCATATATAGTCATGATGTGCCCATATATAGTCATGATGTGCCCATATATAGTCATGATGTGCCCATATATAGTCATGATGGGCCCATAATAGTCATGATGTGCCCATATATAGTCATGATGGGCCCATATATAGTCATGATGTGCCCATATATAGTCATGATGTGCCCATATATAGTCATTATGTTTTTGTCAAATACAATTTGATAGTCTAGAAGGGTTTAGGCCACTGATGCGTCGATATCAAAGCAAGCCAGTTGCTGTCCATTGTGGCTCAGTTTGGCCGACACTTGATAGTCCCCGCTGATGCCCGGCAAGTTCGACGAAGGAATCTCAAACTCGCTGGCGGGAAGGATGTAGTCGCCCTGAAAGACATCAAACAAATAAGGCTTTGTTATCACTCTCAAAAGGCTCGTCATACCCGGAAACTTTCCTAGCTATGGAGAGTGTATAATAATGTATATAAAAATAATAGTTAACATCATCTTTAGCTGTTGGTAAGATAAACGCGTCATACCGTTATAATAGTCCACATTATATAGCAATACAAAGAAATAATTTATAATTTGGAAAAAAGGCCATCATTATACTTGTCGTTAATATTACATATAATAATTATTATAATTATTCACCATCAATTACAATTCTTTATGTTAAATGTAATGTAAAAACAATGTATTAAATAAGTGAAATAGGCCTACTTGAGATTTACCTTAGTCAGAGGGCAGTGGCAGGGGATGTTATACTTTGGCAGAGGATCAGGACAGGGTGTTCCGGCACTGATGAGTGTGCAAACGTCATCATAGGTACATGAACCAACATTGTCAATACATGGAACGTCAATCCATACTACAACCTGTAACATTAAAAAAAAAAAAAAAAAAACAACTTTCAGTCACCAGGAAGAAGTATCGTCATTTGAAGAAACGCGAGTTATATAAGCATGATGACGGGAGGGCCCAAGAACACGATGTTTTCTATGAAAATGCAACGCCACAACACAACGCGCGCACAACGGATTGTTTTTAATGACGATCCGTCAGACTGCCACCGAAAATCATCATAAGCATGATGACGGGAGGGCCCAAGATCACGATGTTGTCTATGAAAATGCAACGCCACAACACAACACGCGCACAACGGATTGTTTTTAATGACGACGATCCGTCAGACTGCCACCGAAAATCAGTAGACGGCGTTGTATCCTCTAGACCAGGAGCGGGTTCAGATATGTCCGAAAGGGGCCGGAAAAGATGTCGATGTCGGGGACATTCCCTCGCGAAGTTGTTGTTTTCTGACGACAGGAAATAACCTCCTGAGGCGTTTTTGGCGAACGATAATTACTTTTTCTTTTTAATTTGTATACAAGGTAATAGGCTTATTTAAAAATACTGTAACTTGAAAGTAAGATATTTATTAACTGTTCGATTTTTATTGCTTAATAATTGCTTTTTAAAGCAGCGCATGCGTTGGAGACCTATAAACAATATTATTAGGTCCATAATTGTAGATAGGAACGTGCGCGAGGTAGAAGCGAAGGATCGTTAGAATAAAACAATAGGTATAGGTATAGATTTTTTGTATGCTCTCTGTAATCATTTGTTCAAAGATATTTATATTAACGTAAAAGGAAGAAGTCTCTTAAAAAAACCCACACACGGAATCAAGAAAAGATAAAATACTTTAGAAGTAGCAAGTTTTAGTTTCTGTTTTTATTATTTAGTTTCAGAAGTTCCTTAATGTATATAGTATGTGCGTCATTGAAATATTATTTGTTTATACAATCATAAATAGGCCTATCTATTGTTTATATTAACTTTTAAACACTATAATTTCAAAATATAAAACATTCATTTGCTTAATTTTGTCTGTTAAATATTGAATTTTTCGAATATATATGTTTTAACTTGTTATTCATTCAATTTTATTTATTGCTGTATTCACGAATAATATTTGTTTTACCTTCTTCTTGACAGTCAATTCCAACTTGACCTTTGACTCGATGTCAACGCCTACAGAAGCATTGAACGCAACAGTCACGTTACCAGGAACTACAAGAGGGTCAGGAGTCAGCGTTACGGTGGCTTGTACTGGAGCGGACGTATCGCACGATCGCCAATTGAATGACGTCACTTTATAGCTGCTGTATCCCTTGAATATCAATTAAAAAATAAGCAATCGATCACTATTATAAATACTATTTTCTGGAGAAAAAAAAAGATGAATAAATACAAATAGTTTATAATAGACCTATCCACTCGTCGTAAGACTCCAAATAGGCCTATAGAAAACAAGTTGTCGCAGCGACGAGGTGGGGTCGGGAAGGCATGTGAGTGGAGAGGCAGGGGCAAGAGAAAATGTCCTGTGGCCTAAATAGGAGTGTTGAAAAATACGTATTGGGCCTATATTTAAACGAATAAATCGTAGTAATTGGACAACTAAATAACAAATTATAGGCCTAAGTCCTAGAGTCTGGGACATCCACTCATTGGCCATGGCAAGATCAATTTCCTGACATTCTTTCATTCACCACTGGGCCACAGGTGGACCCTTGGCTTGAAAAGACAGGAGAACAAAACACTGGGTTACGATCGCTGATATCACTACTAACCACTGATTTTTGTCGTCTATTATTTCCATATTATAGGCCTACAGTAGATTATGGTTTCGAATGTCCTCAATGATGCGCTGGATGTAAATGGACAATTAGTTCACTATACATTTAACGCCGAAGAATGTACTTAATAGAATTTAAGTGCCGGGCAATTAAGCCAAATGTACAATATCTCGTTCATATTGCAAGAATTTTTAATGTTCTACCCTTTGGTGGTCAAGCTAGAGTCTACTCAAATTCACTGAGCGTGCGTTTACAACAATTGAAAACTATTACAACAACGTGATAGCCAGGTGTGCAAGTGCACTTTCTGTAAATAATTATGTTCTGTCATTTTAAGATAAGGAAGTAAATATACAGTTTTTCACAAAGGATTTTGAGAAGTGAATTCCCCCTATTATGTTGCATTAATGAACATTTTCTTAAAAATTCATGATTATTCATAAAATGGAGAGAGCTTTTGTGTTTTATAGCTTAAAAACTGATTCAGATTTGTTCCCCCTTATTTTTCATTAGACTGCTAGGGATATTTGTATTTATATATTTATATTTCTATGGAATAAAAAAGACTATAAAAAGGCTGAAAACACAAACATTATTATTTTATATATGCAATTTGCTATTATAGGCCTAATCAATAAATTCCCCATCAACCGATATAACCTTAAACCTGTCTCTTATACACATCTAGATGTGTTTAAATTAGAACTTATTTACAATGGAAGAGTCCTACATAAAACCAATTATAAACATTAGAACAACGATAAAAAATATTGTAAGAGTAACAAGATCCTTCGGTTGTAGACCTTTATCATCTTATAACGGAAGGAAATATAACGGATAGGCCTATATATATTTTCATAACGGATATATTACTGTATATATATACTGTATACATATTCATAACAGAAATAATATGTTTTATATTCTGATTCTGATTTAGGCTTGTAGCTAAAATGGTTTCTGTAATTTGCATTGTTACAGGGTTCCAAATGATCAGCTTCTGTTGGATGGTTAACCTAATTTAGTATGGTTCAAATAAAGTAATATAAACGAAGGTCCTTCGGAAGATCTCGTTCTTTTCTTCAATATATTATGGCAAATTGCAGACTATGTCTTTGTATTTCATTTACGTATTTAGTGGCCTATCCAGCACCTTCAATTCACACACACAAATAGAAAAACGCTGATAACAAAATGTACGCAATAATGTATAAAATACAGGCCCGTAGCGTGACTTTATTTGTGGGAGGTTCGTTTCAGTGGAAAGTGGACCCCTACTAGCTCCGATACTCTGGATAACATTGTAAATATATCTATACGTATATTAATTTTTCGTTTTTAAATGCGGGCCTTTTTCAGTTTTGGGCGGTTCATCGTAGCCCTCTTAACCCCCCACGCTACGGGCCTGAAATATACCGTACTATAAGAAAATATAATACGACGGGCTTACAGTATGCTAGATATAAATCAAATGTGAATTAAGGACGAGACGTTTAAGCCGTTGGCCCCGTGTGCATTATGGCCCATGTGCACGTTGAAGAACGCAGTACATGTACAGTACTCCGGAAAAGAGTAGGGGATTGTCTCCCGGTGTACTGCCCAATGACCACCAGAAGGACCCCATTGGAAATGAAGTCTTCTTCTAGACTTTCGTGGGCTACCCTTGGTGTTTACTCTGGTTAACATTTTAGCTTTTGATTGTCAATTTCTATCTCTAGGCCTATACCGAATTAATCCAGCTATTGTTCCCATAGCATTGTTATTTAATATTATATAGCAACAATAACATACTATTAATCATTATACAAGTAGGTCTTATAGTAACATAATGAACTTTCCGTAGTCAGGCTGACATGCAGTCGCTAAGCTATATAGGGTCTGTGGTAGCCTACGGGATTCATGGTCATCCTACTGATTGGACGACCCATACGTAGGTCTAATAATTTGCTTGACCTTACCTTGGAAAAAGCATAGTTTTCGTAGGAATAACGTTCGGGTTTAATAGGAGTACCCAACAGCTTCATCAACTGCTCGTAAGCTTCTTTCTGACCTAAAGGATGGCATTCAGCAGCCACCAACAGGCCAAGTCCTATGAAGATCGTAAGTGTAAATTTCATTTTGGCTCTCGCTGTCTTGCATAAGCGTGGTATGTGATTGATTACGTTGTGATGTGCTGCGCACACTTTAAGAAGTGAGTACTTAACAATACAGTTAAGTAGGTGTGGTTGGTTGTATTCATGAATGGTCCAATAGCCAATGGACGGACATGAGTAATACTTTTGTTAAATATTCATGAGATTGAATAATAAAAATAGAGCATGGATAAAAAAAAGTTACAGATTTCGACGGCACTCTGTTCACGGAAGCACACAAAATTGTTATATTGATGATGTAATGTCAATAAAAGTTATTGGATTGTTTTTTGTTTTTGCTTTATATCAAGTATAGGCCTACAAATTGGCCGCCGGGTTTTATCTAAGAAACCGAAAGGTCCACTGATTTCTCAGATAAGATAGTATAATACATAGGCCCTACTCCAAGTATCGAAATGCACGCCATCGTATCGGGATTCAATATTTCGACATTAATTATGTCATCACCAGGAATGAAAAATTATCCATATTTGCGAACTTATATGCCGAGTACCAAAAGTGTTTGACCAATCAAAACATCACCCCTAGAAGGTGACATAGCTATGAATAAACTATAGATCAAAAAGCATTCTTACACTACGGATCAAAGTTACCTACAAAAACAAAGCAAGCTCCTTTGTAGCTTTCAGCCTATTGTTAGGCAATGAGTGTAGCCTACGTATAGCAAACGCTTCTTTAAACAATAGTATACACCAATTTTGCGAACTGTCAATAATGTTAGTATTCGAAAATATTAAACCTAATTTATTACTTACATTACAGACTACATTATTATTTTCAAGTATACCTTGTAAACCTAAAACATATTTCAATGCCTCACAAGTTTGTATATGATCTTTTATAACACAATCATCTGGGCGACAATATTCTAAAAATGGGTGTTATGAAATGTGTGTTGGGTATTAGGCCTCCCATACCTAGAAAGTCGGCATCAGGTGCCCTCCTAAATAATACAAATCATATGATGCTTTTATCAGCGGAGAGACTAAAGGAGTTGGAATTTAATTCAATTCTATCTTTATTGTCAAACACTGTAAAATATACGGTTTTAAATTTTTGTTTGTTCTGTTTGTTCACCGATTAAAATAAAAAAATATTCTTATTGATATAATCACATACTAAAATACACAACACAAACATCACATAATAAAATGTCAAAATATAAAGGTAAGGTTTAAAATTAGTAAAAATGGTAAACATTTGGCTAAAATATAGGTCTCAAAAATTTCAAACAAAAAGGCACGAGTTTTGTATATAGTTTTTAGTCGCGAGAAAAAGTCCTGCTGTCTCACGAACAGAACCCAGGACCATAAGATCACAATGCAAGCATCTTAACCACTAAGCTATTCAACTCCACTCTAATCGTTAGAATTTGTTTGTATTTGTAATTTATTAAAACATCCAACAGTGTAAACGCCAATTACAGGATAAACATAAATATATAACAATATGATAAAGACAGAAAGCAGATCATTGCATAATAATTATTAAAGTCAGAAAAAAAAATATTATTAACAAATTTCTGTATTAATCATCATCATCAAACCGGATTTGATTTACAATCACAAATAAGGCGAGACTTTTATTTACACCTTCTTACGCGAACTTTTTGAAAGATCGTCAGAGAGCGAAAAAAAAAAAATTGTTTTCGAATTTAGCAAAATGTTTTTCAGAAAATCTTTCAGACGGAGAAGAAAATAAAAATATTTTATTGTTTAATGTAAACAGTGTCATAATGGGATGATTAAATGCTTTAAATTTTAATATTTAATTAGGGAGAAATGTAGATATCCTGTTTTTAAAGATTTCAAGGCAGCGACAGGGGTAATGAAAATAAAGAAATAATTTAATTTTTTTCTGAAATTTCCATTTTTTTGTGGTGCTTTATTTTTATTCGAAATAGTAATAAGTCCACTAATGATATTTAAATATAGATTTGAAAACGGTAACTAGCACTGACCTTTCCACCTTGCCCTGACCCTTGGATATTGTCATCACACAATAGTGTAAATGTACGTAAACATGTGCGTTTATGAACAACACGTGTTTATTGGACACGCGTATTCTTGCACTGTTCTGATTGGTCCGTAGGCAGGATTTTCGATGGGGTGGTGCGTTTTGCAACCGAAGTGGACCTTAGGATGGGCGACTGCCAAGGGATCCCCGAGAGGGTGGGGCGAATCTTCTGGAAAGCTCTAACAAAGTATCCTTTTGAGGGCCTTTTAAATGGATTTCTAAAATCCACAATTTGTAATATCCTATTTAAATTTTCATTCATTTGAGTATTGTCTAGGGACCTACAGTAAAGCAGGAGAAATAGAGGGTGGGGTGAAGGGAGAAACTTGCACAGACAGATGGTCAAAACCACCTCAGCCCCACCATGGTTGGGGCTGAGGTAAGAAAATTTATGATTATGGCACCTCCGAAGTGGCCGGAAATGGCACTCTCAGACAAACTTTAATTATGATTTTACTTTTTTCTCCATTTCTTTTATAATTTTAGGGGGCTCTCCCCCCTTGAATCCACCACTATGAAATTATAATTTTTCATGTCCTTTACATCTGTAGGCCTACAATCACTGGAACTGATAACAGATTTCGTAGCACATTATTAAAAATCAACGGGTAAAAAAGCGGGCAAAAAATTGTAATGCATACTATAGCATTCGCGATAATTAGGAACGATTTTAGTGAAATAATAGGTTTTTAAAAGTGGACTTTTTAAAATTTGGTGGTCCAGGGGCAGAGGCCTGGAGAGTGTTTGTGAGAAAAAGCGACAAAGTAACATTTTGAGGGTCTTACATAATAGATTTCTCAAACACATAATTCATGAATATTTCATTTAAATTTTCATTCATTTGGGTGTTTTTGGGACCTGAAAAAGTAACGTTATTATGTCCTGTACATCTGCAGGCCTATAGATAACATAGATCAATCTGCAATCACCAGAAGCGATCAATTTCAAACAAATTTCATACCACATTATTAAAAATCAACGGTTAGATAAGCTGGCAAATATATAATGCAATGCATGCTATAGAATTTTGTGATAATTAGGAACGATTTTGTGAAATCATGGGTTTTAAAAAGTGGACCTTTTGGAATTTGGGGGGGGGGGTGCGTCCACACCCCCGGCCTACGGGCCTGGTTGTTAAGTTTGATTGACACTCGGGAAAGGTCCATTATTCGCTATAGGTGACAATCCCTGACACACACGATTTAAAATAAGCAATTTAAAAAAAAGTTTGTATATTTTAGAAAACAAAACACAATAATTATAGTTCTTATCTAAAATAATGGTGATTATTTATTCCTCAAGTTTATTACATAAATATATTTCATTTCATAATTAATATTTATAACAATTTGTTTTACAAAGCGTCCATTTAAAAAGTTTAATAAAGATCCATTAAATCGTTAAGGTTGGTTTTCTGTAAGACATTGTATCAATTTTAAAACAATAACAAAATTACAAACTACGGACGGCAAATCTTCATTGTTGCTCATACAAGCAACAGTAAAAATAAGATAATTTCAGAATTTATAATACTTTTATATATCAATATATTTATAAAGTAATTACATTTCATTATTTATATAAGACCTAAAACTTTGTATATATTATATCTGCATATTTGTCTGCCATGTGACATTGCACTGACTATACCATTAACTCTAAGTATTTGGTAACTGTCTGCTGTCATATAGATTTGATTTGAAATTATTGAGCAATCAGAGTAAAATACAAAAACAATGAATACAATGATAGCATCCTTGAGAAAACAGAGCCAGCTAATCAACTAAAAATTATCCATTTTAATATGCAAATTGGTTGGTTGAATCGGGGAGCCCTCAGATTGCGTTGAAACGATTGCAATGAAAACACTGCCAGCGACAGAGTAGTGGATAACAAGTTAATGAAATTTTTACCACATTATTCTTAATAGTTTAGTTAATTTCTTTTATTCTAAAATTCAGGTTGGGTGGAAGTTGGTGGTACATTTTAAAAAATATTTAATGTTTTGTGAAAAAGTATTGGACTCCATTGGGGTTTGAATCATAAGAGATTAGTACTGTGGCAGTGTTTTTAAAATCAGCTTTAAAGGACAACAGGTTCCACATCCATATCCATCCAGCCTTGGATCCTGTTTACTGCTGTCTCACCAAGAACACTCTTGAACTTCCCATTAACACATCCAAAGAAACCACCTACAAAAATAGCATAATCATATAATAATAATAATAATAACAAAAATAATAATAATAATAAAAATAATATAATAATAAATAATATTAATAAAAAATAATAATAATAATAGCAAGAATAATAACAATAATAATAATAATAACAATAATAACAATAATAATAAAATAATAATAATAATAATAATAATAATAATAATAACAGTAAGTATACTGATTACCTGACCACGTTGTTTGAATGATAGTAAAAAAGTTAGCTTTTACAGATACAGATCTTTTATTGTCACACAATTATGAAATTTTCCTTTCTTATTGCAAATCTACTCCAGTATTTTAGAGTCTTATTTTGAGGGCAAAAGCAACAAAGGCTCGGACTTAGCTCTAAACCAAGACTCGGAAAGCATTTTTAATATCAGTAATAATAATACTACTAATAATAATACTAATAATAATAATAATACTAATAATTATGTAAGCCTTATATAGCGCATAATACAAACAAATTGCCTATATGTGCTTAACATGAACCTGTGATTTGCCATTTATAAGGCATGATATACTGTAATATCAGCATGCCAATAAGGGTTTAACATGATATCAACATGCTAATATAGGTTTGAGATGACATCATCATGCTATGCTCATAATATGGGTTTGAGAAGACATCATCATGCTATGCTCATATATGGGTTTGAGATGACATCATCATGCTATGCTCATATATGGGTTTGAGATGACATCATCATGCTATGCTCATAATATGGGTTTGAGAAGACATCATCATGCTATGCTCATAATATGGGTTTGAGAAGACATCATCATGCTATGCTCATAATATGGGTTTGAGAAGACATCATCATGCTATGCTCATATATTGGTTTTTGAGATAACATCATCATGCTATGCTCATATATGGGTTTGAGATGACATCATCATGCTATGCTCATATATGGGTTTGAGATGACATCATCATGCTATGCTCATAATATGGGTCTGAGAAGACATCATCATGCTATGCTCATAATATGGGTCTGAGAAGACATCATCATGCTATGCTCATATATGGGTTTGAGATGACATCATCATGCTATGCTCATAATGGGTTTGAGATGACCTCATCATGCGATGTTCGTATAATGGGCAAAACACACCCAAGTTAACACATAAAAATTGAGAGTGAACAGAGCATAGGTTTAAACATTTTAAAAAACATTTATTGTTAGCCTTTTGCTACAAAGACCTACTTGGTTTTACTTTATTAATGATTTTAAACTTTACCTGTATGAACAAATAAGATTCGCTTTCCTTTAAAGGCACTTGGATTGGTATTTATGTGCTCAACAAGACCGAAGGCTACTTTGCCGGTATAAGTTGGATCTAAGATCACACCAGTCTTCATTGAAACATTGGTAATGAATTCTGAATTAAAAAGAAGACAAAATTAGTATCAAAATAAATTGCTGGTCTTTGTTCATTTGTTTAATTAAATCTTTCTTGCATCCAAAGTGTAACTGGAGTAGGCTTAGTATTGCCTTTTTTTTATCCAGGGTTCGCACGTTGTAAAACTTTTTCTCACGCTCGTGGGAAATTCTTTTTTTTTATACATAAGTCACAAGTCATATTTATTGGCAAATCAAAACATTTACATTAAAAAACAGAAAAAAAAAACCAGAGCCTTGCAGGCGTCAACGTTCCTATGCATGATACACGACTTTTAGAAGTATATATACGTG